AAAAAATACAGTATAACAACTATTTACATAGCATTTACATTGTATTAGGTATTATAAGTAATCTAGAGATGATTTAAATTATACAGGAGGATGTGTGTAGATAATGTGCAAATGTTGTGCCATTTTATAAGGGACTTGAGCAACCATGGATTTTGGTATTCGTTGAGGCGTGGGCGTCTGGAACCAATCCCCCTAGGACAGGGGTGGGTAACCTGTGGCCTCAAGGACACATGTGCCTCTCCAGATCCTCAAGTGCAGCCCCTCAACTGGATCCAAACTTCACAGAGCAAATCCCTTTATTAAAATGATTTGTTCTGTAAAATTTGGATTCAGTCAAAAGGCCACACTCAAGGATCCAGAAGGCCTAGGATATCAAGGGACAACTGTACTACTTTAATTCGGGGGTCTGGATAGATTGGTATCAGTATTAAAGATGTTTTATAACTTGCTATACTTGTCTTTTTGAGGCGCTTCCAAAGAAATCAAAGTAGAAGCGAAGTGGCACATGTGACCCACTAGTATGTCTAATACACATTTGGTATGTAATATGTCTCTGTGACCTCCCCATAAAATATATGTTTGTTAGGAAATTCTGTATTTGAAGAAGATAAATATTTGGATTCTTAATGAGTGGAAGATAGATTACAGATTATGATAAAGGATAGTTTGGATAGAGGTAATTTCAAATATTTTCTTATTTTTAAAAACTTTTAAAGGTAGTTTATTTAGAGTGTTTTATATTTGCAAAGAAATTTGTTATAGGTATAGCTAGAAGTAATAGTTTTGTCTGCATATTTTGAATGAGGTAGATAACACTGAAAGTTGGACAATGCTTCATAACATTAAATAAATATCAATTTAATTCTTTCATACATGGCTTACTACTAGCCAGGCATTCTTTTATATTTGGGGGTACTACATTGAAGAAAACAAGACAAAAACATCACCCTCTTCATGCTTATATTTTGGTGAGATGAGATGAGGCCATGAATAAGTAAAATGTATTTTATGTCCAGTGATTATGGATACTATGGAGAAAAATAGGAAAGGAGCAGGTAGTAGGGAGAGGGAGATAGGTTGCAGGAAGAGACAATTTTTGCAACTTTGAGTACCTACGTGGTTAGGAACTGAAAGCCTCCATCAGAAGGTGACATATGACATTATGACATATGACATAAGTTCTAAGGGTGATGAGGGAGTGAACCATGAAGATTTGGGGGAAAGAACTTTCTGAGTAGAAGAAATTATAAACACAGAAGCTGTGAGGCAGGAGCTTGCACAGCTCGTTTACAACTCTAAGGAAGCCAGGAATGAGTAAGGGGAAAAGTAGTAGGGAATGAGGTCAGAGAGGTAATGGGGTGTAGAGATCAGATCTTGAGCACTGCAGGCCCACTTAAATACTTGGGCTGTGTGTGTGTGTGTGTGTGTGTGTGTG